ACGCCGTTGTTATTATTTACTTTCTAAAAATATGTTTTAGAATGTTCTTGCTGATTATTTACCTTTTCAAGGCGTACTTTTTAGATCTAAACGATATTTTGGCATGTTTTAGAGCAATGCCATAACAATAAACGTTTTAAAAGTACCCGAGGGAACCATATTCGGATCCAATTTCTTCTAAAAAAAATCCTTTTATTGGCCAAAAAATCATCTTTAATTTATACGATTTTTTAAGGAAGAAATTTATATATAGTAAAAAACCTGTCAAAGACAGAACCTGAATAAAACAGAAACCTGCCTAAACGGAAGAACGGAGCGAATATTTTTTTATGTTTAAAAAATCTGTTTAATTAATTAAAACGGAAAAAATATTCGGTACCGTGCTATTCCGGTTTACACAGGTTTTACTATATATTATTATTATTATTATTATCATTTTTTTACTTTATTGATTTGGGTTTTGGTTTGTTTTTAAATTGAAAAAAAAATTCAATTTTTAAACAAAAACTGGATAGTGTTTCGTTGTTAGAGTTATAAACTTTCAAAAAAATAATTCCAACCAATAAGCAATAAGAAGAGAAGAGGAAAAGGAATTTTTTAGAAGAAATATATATATGAAATGTTCTTCAATTTCAAAAAATTGGGAGTCTAATGATAGGAGTTTCGATGTATATATGATATCAAATTTAATTTCACTAAAAGTAATTTTTTAGAATGAGTTTCTTCGATTGTTATACTAATTTTTTTCATTTCGTTTCTTTTCTTTGGTCTTGTAATATTAAATTTATGCGAAATTCTTCGGTGATTCATTGTCGTTTGAGCGGAGCAGACTATGAAAAAGTTCGAAATAATGCATTTTTAATGGGGGATTAAGTTTCCAAAGTTTCAAATTATATATATAATTTTTTTGTTCATTTAATAACTTTTTTAATAAGCTCCGCCCAATGTTAATCAGAAAAAATGTTATTTTTAATTATTGTTTTTATAAGAAAAATTATTTACTTTGACGTTTTTAGACATAATTTGACTGTTTTTTGACATTTGGGCGGAGCAGGACGTAGAAAATAATGTTTAAAAATGTATTTTAAAATGGATAAAATTTTAAAAGCTTCGTATTTAATTAGGAAATTTTTTAAAAAGAATTATACACAGTAGAGCATCGATTATCCGACCCCCGATCAATCGAAATATCGGTTAACCGGCCACGTTCTAGTCGGCAAATTCAAATGTATGCTAGTGATGTGGCGCTACAATATTTGGCTATGTCTTGGCTACTTTAATATTATTTTTACCATGAAAGGGAGCCAGTATTTAAACGAGGCTTAATTTTCTAATTTTTAACGATACAATAGCGACGATTATTATTTTAAAAAAATTGTTGTTAGGCTTAACATCGATGAAAATTCAACGCGAAGTATATTAATAGCGATATACTAATATACTATACTAATAATGTATTTTTTTCATATTTTTCGGTTATCCGTTTTTTTCAATTATCCGATCAACCCCAGGCCCCAGTTGAGTCGGATAATCGATGCTCTACTGTAATATTTTAAGAATTGTTTATAATCTAAAAATGAATTATTAAATATTTGTTTTGAATTAGGCGGAGGAACAATTTAAAATTAATGATAAAATAAATAAATAAATTCTATAGAATAAATCAATGAAAAAAAAATACACAAATTGAGTAATAAAGTTAAAATTTGGGCGGAGCGTTAAGATACTTTATCGAAAAAAAGCTCCACCCAGAATTGTTTTTATGAATATTTTTAATTAATCGTATTCAATTAACCAGAAAATCCAAAGCAGCTCCGCCCAACGTTTTGTTTTTGGGGCGGAGCTGCTAATTAAACACCAATTTCCAGGAATATCATAAGTATGGGCAGATAAGTACTTATATAATTACTTAATATGGGCGGAGCGAGCAGGATTATAATTTTTTTTTTTTTTGGCTAAATAAACAAACCTAATGGGATAAGAGTAGAGGAAGAGCACCCAATAATTCAACATTAGCATAGCATTACATAGGATGCCATCTGTGATCCTCTTAACAAATAACTAACGAGATATCAAAATCTGTCTGGTTGTTCATCTGTTGTGCACGGTCTTTTGTCGGAGGGAAGAAAGAAGGAAGAGAAAAAAGCTGATTGAAAGAGAAATTTCATTGTCGGCTCTTCGTCATTTCTGACAGTTTATTGACTCCACACTGTGCCACAATTTACCAAGGAGGAGGTTGCTCCATCCATAAATGGGGATGCTTAGTGATGCTAAATTAGAAACTATTCATCTCCTTTTTTTTCCGTACTTTCTTATATTATACAGCACTTAAAATATGTACAGTAAAACCTGTGTAAACCGGAATATATATATATTTTCCGTTTTGAACGCGTTTCTTTTTAACACTGGAAATTGCTCCGTTCCGAATTGTTTCCGTTTTAGACAAGTTTTGCTGTGTATGTTTATTAACGAATTGGGTATGATCTACAAACTAATGGATGTGTTTTTATGTAAATTATCACACTAAAAAATTCAAACAAAACAAATGGTATTTTTGTTTGGATTTTTTTTGTATTTTTTTCTGTTTATATACGGAGTTGTAGGCGTAAAATGCTTTAATTTATTGTTTATTTTTTGCTCTTTTCTCTTTTCTAAGCATAAAAAATTACTTTATGCTTATTTTTACGCTTAATTTATAGCATTTTGCATCTTTTTTCCATATTACTCACCTGTGAATTTATATTATTTTTTGCATATTTTTACACGCTTAATTTACTTTTATCGTAGTATTTTAGCACCAGTTTTTCTTGTACATATATGTAGAGAATAAAATATATTTTCTTGTAGATTTTATTTTTATTTCTTCATCTTACAGCTTCTTTCATCCTTATCCATCAACTCAATTTTTGCATTTTATGTACTTTGTTCTTCGCATCCATTTATTTATTTTTTTTTTTTTACTTAATTTTATAGCATTTTAGCATCTTCATTTTATTATTTATTTATTTATTTATTGCACATTTTAATAATTTTTACAGCTAATTTCTCCACACCATGTAGTTTTTTTCCACATGCTTTTTTGCATTTTTATACATATTTTTTGTATTTTTAATATATTTTTACGTTTAATTTGCTGCATCTTTCTTTTATTTTCTTGCATTTTCTTTACTCAATTCTTCGTTTCCATTCGCAATTTTTTTTTTGCATTACTGTTTTGTATCGTTTACTCTTTTACATGTCTACATTCAACTTTTACTTTTGAATTACATTTACAATATTATTCGGTTTCCATTTAGATAAACTTATTCCTGCATTTTATTTATACGAACTTTCTATCCATTTATATAAATATATTTATTTATTTCTGTATATTCTGGACAATAATGTAAAGTTAAAATTCGACTTCTTCCATTTCCATAGTCTTCTTTGTACTAATTCTTTTGTTTTCTTTATTTTTTAGTGTTGTTTTCTTTGAAGTGTCTACTCATTTTAATTCTTTTTTATATTTATTTACTTTCCACCTATTTTTCTCCCTTGTTTTCGATACTTACTCATTTAAATCCTTTGTATTGAACTATACCATTGCTTTTTTCACTTACCCAAATTTTGTAATGCTTTTGTTTTCGTATTTTACATCGATTCCCCCCGAATTTTCTCCTCCTGTTTTTAAATATTTGTGTTTTTATATGCATTTTTGAGCTTTCTTCATTATATTTTAATAAATTTTTCAAATTTTTAGTTTCAAATTCAAAGTTTTCCTTTAAGTTAAACAATTATTTACATCTTTCTTTATTCTATAAAATTCAATTTTGCATCTTTATTTTTAAAAAAATTGTCTTCTGTTTATGCAGTTTTTTCGAGCCTTGACAATTATATTTCGGTCTAACGCTTACTTACTTAAAAGAAATTAATTAATTAATTAATTAAAAGTTGTTTACTTGATCGTCAGCATTTTATAGATTATAAAATGCCATTAAAATGTATTTTTTGGGAACTTTCCATTGTAAAAATTAAATTTTTAACTGAATTTTAGTAATTATAAAGCGAGTTACATGTAGTAAGCTAAATACATTTTTCTGCACAGTATCTACATGAAAATTGGAAAGAAATTAGCATAAAACACATGGCAAACAGTTGAAATAAAAGTCAAAATTTACTCCTTTTTTTACAAGAAAGAACAAAAAGGAAAATTAAAAGAAGGAAAGAAAAAAAAGAGAGAGAGNTGTATATATATTTGTATTTTTTATTATTATTCACAGACAAAAAATGCATAGTTTTTAGAATAATTCTGAAAACTACAAACACATTTCAAATGTATACAATGAAAAAAATAAAAGATTGCAGATTTCCTTTTGTTTCTGAATGAATAAAAAGGTATAACATCGATTGTCCATTTATGCAATTATGTTGTATATAGCATAGATTTTTTATTAGATTTTTTTTTGATATTATCAAATAAATTTGATGGCCATAGAGAGATTTTTATTAAACGGAAAGACTTTACACCAGCAGACATATATTTATATATATATTTATATACATAAAGGCCGGATACATCCATCCGCTGGATGCATCCTCTTCTCTTTTTTTTTTTGCTTTTTTTGGGGTTTTTTTCTTTTAAAAGTCCCTTATCGATGACTAGGAACCACACACAAAAAGAAGTAAAATATGAGGAGAAAAACATTTAAAATAAAATAAAAGGAATTTGGTGAATGTAAAAATGATATGTACAAGAGCAAATTTAAGAAGTGTGCTTTAGTTCTTCCTCTTGCTACGTACAAACTAAGCATGGTGACTAGTTTATGACATCACAGTGCATTACAGTTCGCTTTATTGTATGTATATATATATATATAATATATAATATGTATATTGTAGATGTAGACAGGGCTACGGCGCTCCACACCAATTGAAACCCCTTCTGGGAGGCACAGAGTGATAAGTCTGACCTGTAGTGACCTCGTGTTTGGTCCGGGTTGAATGTCCTCCTGATNTATATATATATAATATATAATATGTATATTGTAGATGTAGACAGGGCTACGGCGCTCCACACCAATTGAAACCCCTTCTGGGAGGCACAGAGTGATAAGTCTGACCTGTAGTGACCTCGTGTTTGGTCCGGGTTGAATGTCCTCCTGATTAATTTTTAATATTGTTTAGAACAGCGAGCGGGCCCAACGAAAAGTAACAGTTGGAAGAAGAGATGATGAAACTTCAACTGAAATCTGGCACATTGAGTGACTAGGGTCACCTGGGGTCCCGATTCTTTGGCGGTCATTTTCTTGAACGCCTTTAACTAGGCACTGTCACTGATGCAGCTACGTTGGGCTACGACAAGAAGGCGATTAGAATACTGAGCACAGGTATCGTCAGCATGGTCGATGTTGCCCTATTGCGTACTGTAAAAGGGTAAAGTGGGATTAGGATCATCACCAATAAAAATTGATTCATCCGCTTGCGATTAAGGGTAATTATAATGCAACAAATCAATTTAAACTGTATGTCAAAGCCTGTTGAACAGTTTAACACTGCTATAATTAATTAAATTTTGAATACTTTTATACCAAATGTATGTAGTAAAATCGTCGCTCGTTAGTTGCCGCTTTCTTACTTAACACCACAATTTGGAGGGACACCAAATGCTGACCTTAATCACAAACGGATGTAACATTTTTTTTTTTAAATACAAGATTAATAAGAAGGAAATAAAAACATTTTACAGTGCTGTGCAATGTTCTTTCACATGTTAAAGACATAAAATACGATACACATCGATAGAACTTTCAAATGACCGAAAAAAATGCATTAATAACTTTCATCTGGGAGTATAAAATCTCTAAATTTGTTCATAAAATTACACAAGAATTTTAAATTATTCTCGCATCCTCAACTTTCAAAATGTTAAATTTCCTGTAAATAAACAGGAATTTTTACACTACAAGAAACGGAATGATGCTTCTAACGAACAGATTCCGAGTGGATATATATTTAAGTGGAACATATTTCAAACGAAATTAACTAGAAATCAGATTTTTGTAACAAGAATTATAGCAATGTAAAGTTGTATCTCTTTTTTCCTTATGTTTAATGACTCATTTAACAGAAGAAATGACTCCTCTCCTTTACTTTTCTTCCCTTTAATGTGATATTAATGCGTTTTAATCACAGATATAAAATTCGTGTTTTTCAAAGCCCAACTCAATTTTCTACCCATTATCTCTGTGTTTATGGAAATTTATCCATCATTAAGTCAAGTTTAGAAAATAAAAATAAAAAATAAAAAAAATTAGAAAATTAATTTTTTTTTCTTTTCGATTTTTAGCATCACACCTCCTCCTCATCATGGATGAGGAGGAGGTGTGATGCTAAAAATTATTATTGGAATTTTTGAAATTTAATTAATCTAATCAATGATAATTTATCTTTGTCGTTGATGTAAGAAAAACATAATTATAATTATGTCAATGTTTAGTTTAGGAGGGGATGGAATATTTCTTACCTGCTCCCGTGTTTTCAGAAATATGCAATCCAGAACTTTGCTGGCTGCTTCCTACTATAGTTTCTTCGCTGCTCATATTGATCACCTTTGATAAAGTTGCTGTGCATTTGAGTCTCATCTCCTCTTTCTGAAAGTGGTCCGACTGTACACGGAAATTAAGACCTAGAATGTTGACCTCTAACCCGTCCGAGAACTTCATAGTTGGATAATGGGTAAGCTTGGTTCTCCCCTTGAAAATATATCAAATTTATTGAGTTTATACTTACTTTTGTACTTAAATTAAAATAATACATAGCTTAGTAGTATTAATGTTTAAATATTCGTTTGTATAAACCACAAAGATCTGTTAAAAACAATTATGCAAACTTCATTTACAGCCTAAAATATATTATTAAAAAAATGATTTATTCAATTCCTATTTAAACACAAGTTTAAGACTTTAAAAAAGTAAAACACGAAAAAAAGATTTTATATAAATGAAAACAATTGTTATTGGCTTCCTAGTCATTACAATCAATTGTACAAAGTAATATACAAGAAACAGTAGAAACAGAACTGTACAGTATTGTATAATAAACAGTAGAGATAAAACTGTATAGAGTATAATTTAGGAAACAGTACAGACAAAACTGTATAGAGATGTGGTTCCCAAACTTTTTTGATACTCAGCGCCCTTGCTAAATTAAGTTTTTCCTAAGGCGCCTTATGTCAAATTCTAACAAGTACAATTTGCGAAATAGCCAATATCTTTTTAATTAAAGCGTTAGGATGTTAAGTATAAAATAAATAAAACACGTATTTAAAATAACAAAAACATGTAATTGAATAAATTCAATTAATAATAATTAGTGGGATGGATGAGCCTATTGATCACCGCACATTTTCTCAAAGCTTGGAATCAAACTGGACACAGCCACTCTCACTTTCTTCTCACATTGATTTTCGTGCAATGCTTATTTTTTATGATACCGACAAACTCAGCTTCGCACAAATAAGTCCCAAATGGAATTAAGATTCTCTGAGTTTTACCACTCAGAAGGGATATTCATCTTTTACCGATATCCAAAGTTCAGTTAATTCCATGCTGCTAAATTTTGTTTTCAACGTATTGTCACAAGAAAACTCAATATGATTCTCTTCTTATACAGCAGTAAATTCAAATGGAGCACTGGAATTAAATGGATCTTGAATCCATGCAAATTTATCGATATTATCATTTTGAAAATATTTCTCAAACCAGGTGGATAGGCTAAATGATAAATGTTGTTCAAAAATAGAGTTTATACCTTGAGAGAAATCAACTCCATTGGAAGTCAAACACTGTTGCAACAAGGGGAAACATCTTTTCCTCCGTCTTTGTTTATTTTTCTTTTCCATAGTTTTAATTTTTTTTTATAAAAGCTGAAATTTTCCCAATCGACTTTAAAAGGTGCATGTTGCTTCCCTACAGGGAGAGATTCAGAGCTTTCGGCTTTTCAAAAATATTACATGAGTATGCTAGTTTTACCAAAAAATTCTTCAATCACCAAATTTTCGGCATATTTGTGGTCTTCCTCTTTAAGAAAAATATAAATTTCCCGTCGCAGTTCAAACGTACGAGACAAAACATTACATCAAGAGAGCCACCGCTCTCTCGATGGTAATGTTTTGTATTTTCTCGAAGTGCTTTAGTACAACAAAGACGTGTGCTCGGATCCCACATCCTCACATAGTTTTTTGAAAAAATATTGCCTTCAATGGCGGTTTTTATAAAGTTTACCACATGCATTACATATTCTGGTTCAATGCAGGGACTGAGGACTGAGATATTTTGATGCGAGTGCTTCCCTGAGAATAACGCAATGGGTCAACAGTGCACCAGGGTCTTTGCTTCGAAAAAGTGCTTGCAATCCTCTATAACAATCGGACACAGAACGAGCACCATCAGTAAAGTTACTAGTGCATTTGGTCCACTCCAAGTTATTTTCGGAAATAAAAATATAAAGGATCTCGAACAAGTCGTGAGCCTTAGCACCAGCAGTGATACTTTTACAGAAGAGAAAGTCTTCTAATGTTATAATTATCTATAAACTGTACATAGCAAATCAAGTGAGCATCATTATTATTATCCGTGTCCTCATCGAGCTGCAACCCAAATTTCTTCTCTTCTATTTTTTCAATAACTGAACATTGGAAGTCCTTCGCTATGTGCTGTATTCTGCGACTGATAGTGTTATTAGACAAAGGCACTTTTGAAAACTGCTACGCAGCAGACCCACCGATCATAATGTTCGCCATATCTACAGCAGCCGTAGAATGAATTTTTCTGCGATGGTATGAGGCTTTTTACATTTTGGATTTTATGTGCCACCTTTATTACTGAGTTAATGATTTGCACTAGGTCTGCTAGATGTCGCATCTTATCACATTGAATTGAAAGTGGAAGTAAAATTATGAAAATGTTATAATATTTCGCGGGAACTTTGGGAACCGCTGATATAGAGTATTAGGAAACAGCAGAGACAAAACTGTATAGAGTATTATTTAGAAAACAATAGAAACAATTGTAGAAGCATTTAAATCAGTTTTATAGGAAAAAAGTTTACAAAAACTATATTTGTTTCTACTGAGTTATCTGTACAAATAACTATAATGGAAAGTATGTTTTTCCCAAAAAATATGTATAGTACTGTAGAAACAATAGCTTAATCACCATACTAAAAAAATATATATATGATATAGAAACTTTAGGCATATGCAGCAAGTTCTTTTAGAGGACCTCAGATGCATACAGTACAGTACATATCGATCGCAATCCACTACTCAGAATGTAGTACTAACTAGAATTCTAAACTTTGTACATTATCGAGTATAGTGTGATACATTAGTTTACATAATATAAAGTCCATAAAAGGTGCCTCGCAAGTTTATACTTGCGACGCCTGTAGAAGCAGAAATATTTACTTTTATGTAAAGAAAAGTATTGAAAGTAACACCTGTATTAAAACAAAGTAAATTAACAGGAGAACAACTCTGGAAATGATTATAAGAGGAAATTATGGATGAAAATACTTTTTATATAATAATAATTTCGAATACTTTCAGAACAGCCGAATAATCCAATTAAAACAAAATATAAAACCATAAATACTCAAAGTAAATAAATATAAAATTAAATGTGAAAGACACCAGAAAAAACAGTAAACAGATTAAACTATGTTACAACTGATCAAAGAACTAGAAAAAGTATTCACCACACTGGAATACAACCGGGAAACAACTAACAACACATGCAAAACAATACAACAAACCAAAAAAACACCGCAACTAGTTGAATTTTGTGTTTTAGAATCACTCTACTATTTATAGTAAACAACAAAAAGAAATCTTTACAACAAAATGTTATTTTTTTATAATTTTAACAAGTAAAAAGTTATTTTCGAATAATTAAGCTTTAAAAAATAAATAAATAACAAGGAAACAAGCAAAAATAGAGTGGGAACAGCTAAAACACTAGTCTAATAAAAATGAACCAATAAAAAGAAGCATAATTAAACTACTTATTACATAAAAGGACACAATTAAAAACACATTCAAAACAATACAACAAAGCCGAAAACACCACAGCTAGTGTTTTTTTAAACCACATTATTGTTTACAAACAATAACAATAGAATAAAACGTTAACTTCTTAAAAAATTTTTATAAATAATTAAACAGAAGAGAAGAAAAACAAGGAAAAAAAAAACACTTTTGTTGTGTCTGTTGCAGCAGTGTTAAGGGACAAAATACTATAACAGACAAAACAGTTAGGATGGCCGTATAAAATTAAAATCAATAAAAATCAAGGAAATAAATATAAAATTAAATATAGAAGAAAGCATAAACGATAGTAAACATATCGAACTGTGTTAGGACAACACAACCAGGAAACAATTAACAACACATGCAACACACATGAAAAAACAAAAAAGGTGCAACTAGTGAGGCGGTTTATGACAAAATCACAACAGAAATTTTTTTTGATGTATTTTAAAAAATTTATTTACTTATTAATTAAACAAAAAGAAAGGAAAAATAAGATAAATATCTTTTAAAAAAATGAACTGGAAAATGTACTAAATTAAATTTCAAATAATTTAATATTTAACGAAGGAAATTATCTTTTAAGAGGCGATTTCTTTATTATTTTTTTACTTTAATTATCGATTTACTTTTGAAAAAGTTAAATCGATAAAAAATAAAAAAATAAAATAAAATTCTGTATTTTCGTACAGAGATAAAGAAATTTTTATGAATTTTTCTTTGTGGTATATTGTTGTCTTTTCTGTTCATTGATGAAAGGATTTTCTATTATTATTATTTTTAATATAAATATGCAGGAATTTTTATTAATATTAAAATTATAAAGGAATATTTTCTACTTCACTTACTCGTCTGTCGTTTATGACAGGTTGATCGTTGATGAACCATAATAGTTCTGCTGGCGGTTTCGACTTGGCAGAGGTGCAATTGACGTTCACTTCGTCACCTACTTGATATTTTGGTTTACCACCCGTAATCGTTGGCCCGTCTCCAAGTAAACCTGCAACAATAAACCAAACCCATTCACCTAGCCTTGAACACGTTCAAGTCGGGAGTGATATTACGAGGTTACAAAGTTTCACGACCTTTTGTACACTTGGCAACCTCTCCCCCTTTACGAGTTGTGTATTATACAGGTTGGAGGAACTTGTCGACTTCGTTTTAGCGTTTTACATTGTCAGAAAGTTTCAGAGCTCTTATTGGGTTCATGCTTCTCAATCTCTCTTACTCAGTTACATCGTTTTAGTGAATTACATCGTAGAGAATTTAAGTCTCTCGGGGTACTGAACAATGTTAAAATCGGTAGAAGAATCAACGAATTAGTTGAAAACATTGTTTAAATCATATTTATACTTGGCAAACCCCCCGTTTTAGCTACTAGTACAATTTGGGTTCGCGACTCACCGGTTGAGAATAATATTTGGTGACTAAAAAGAAGTAAAGTGGAAAAGAAGTGCAACGAAATTAGGCAAATGTGGCGTGACCAAAACTCTTCGTCTATCCCATTTACCACTTTCAACTGGGTATTTTTTTATTTTATTTTATTTTTTTTAAGCGTGATGTACCAAAAATTAAATTCCAACCACGTTCGATCATGTGGAAAACCTCGAGTCTCGAAGAAAACGAATAATTACTGTCGAGATAAACCATGTGGAACATTACTGTTTGTCGCTTCGTACCGAGTCTCGTGCTTCAAAATGAAATTTATAAAAAAAAGAAGCTTCTCACCCCCCTCAAGTGTGGAAATTTCTTCTTATTTTGTGAATTAAAAAATTCTTGTATCGTTTAAATTCCTTCTTTTTCTCTTCTTTTTTTCAAAAATGCTGTTAAGTAACTGTGTTACAGCGTGAAAGACAGGCGTATTTTTCAAGTACCGTTACGAATGTTTTGTGTATTGTTTGCCTTAGCTAAATAAAAATATAAAACGACAAACGTTTCGTTTACAGCGTGAAGGACAGATCTTTTAAATGAAATATTTGACACTTCGTTTTAAAAATTCAGACTTATCTGTAAGAACGGAATATTTCGTAGCAGCAAACGTTTTTAAAGCGTGAAGGACAGACGAATTTCAGAATATTTTTCTAGTATAGAAATAAATGTCTCGTGAATGTTTTGTTCCTAAATGCCAGCTTGTCTTAGGGAAAAAAACCGTCCATTTTGAAAAAGAAACGATGATAAATATTGATAGTTAACTGACAGTCTGGCAGTATTGGTATTTACTTGTCTGTCCTTCACGCTGTATTTTTCTGACGTATAAACGCGTGCTGTTACGTAAACTGGCCGCCATCTTGAAATGTTTGCCATTTTAAGTGAAAGCACGAACTTTTGTCCGTCCTTCACGCTGTATTTCGCGCTGTATTTTTTTCAAACTTACGGAAACTAAACTAAACAGCACATGTTTTGTATGTAGGACTGTATTTAAAAGCGAAAATTATCCACCATTTTGAAAGAAAACAGCAGGCAATTTTCGTGAAAAATATTAATTATTTTTTAAAATTTCAATTCTAGTCCTTTGCTACTTCAGTTATAAATATTTACCATTATTTCAATTCTATTGCGATGCTATGACAATAATAAATATTGATTTTTCTTTTATTTTTTACTTCTTTTGCCGGCACTCTAATAATAAATATTAACATTTATTTCCATTTCTATTTTTGCGCTGTAACTCTTTATGAATATTAATTTTTATTTTAGTTTCGCTGAAGTACTACTACAACAATAAACTACAATTCTGACGTCGCGCTTCCATAATAATTAATATAGATTTCTGCTTTGATTCTAATGAATTATTACCATTACAGCAATAAAAGACATTAATATGCTCTTACAACAGTAAATACAGTCGAACCTCCTAACAACGGCCACCTCTATACAGCGGCCACTTTTTATATTCTCTTCACAGGGCTTTATGTTAATCTCAGTGCTGTACTGTTACAATAATTATACATTTCTGTTTGTTTTAATTCTTATTAAGTGCTACTATAGATTAATAATAAACGTTGTTTTTATAGTATTGAAACTGTATAAAAGAAGGTTTAATTGTGTTAGGTTTTTATTTTTATTTCTAATTTAATGCTACTAAAATAATATGAGATCCCTCTTCTGTTTAGTTCCTTGCTGGTTTAGTAACAATAGGAATATTTTTACCCCTACAAATGTAATTTTTGAATATAAACCTTTATAAATCCTTCAGGCGTTAAAATATCTTGTATCGAGTAGGGGGAGGATGTTTAGATCTGTGGATTTTTTTCCTGCAAACGTTCAGTTGTGTAGCGTTAAAAGGACTAGGTATGGTGACAATTTCTAGTTTATCTACATAACTGTGTAGCATCCCAAACGTCAGGTTTTTTTCCCCTTTCCTATTGGCTTTAACAACTAACAAACACTCCAATAGTGGAGCCTCAGGTGGATGAACTAAGTTAAAGAACTCAATTTTCTCCATTTTGTAGATAGAATCGACACTCACCAGAATGAAAGCCTGAGGCACGAGCGTTATCACCAACAATGATTTCTTCGCTACTCATAGAATATGCTTGAGATATAACAGCAGTGCAGCGCAATTTCATAGATCCATTCCAGAAGTGGACAGGCCTAGCTTCGAAGTTCAACCCCAGGGTAGAAATCTGTAACCTGTCTTTGTGTCTCAGGGGTCTTGTTCTTGTTTCGTACGATACGGGTGCCTGTGATACAGATTAATCGATATTGATACAGGAGGTGAAGAGAATAAAAGAGATTTTTCGCAGCTTACCTCTTTGCCATTGATGTACCACTTTAGTGTTGCTGCTGGTTTTGAAGGTCCTGCCGAGCACGTGACGTTTACTTCGTCTCCAATTTGGTATTGTGGTTTTATGCCGGTTATTGTTGGGCCATCCTCTGGTAACACTATGAAAATAGGTACGTGTTTTAACACCTGGATACGTCACATAAAAGAAATGCAAATGATGCAAATGTTAATTCGACAAAAATTCAATTGCTATTCATGTGATCTCGTTAGGAGGTATTATAAAAATTGGATACTACAACATGATTTATAGGGTAGGAAACTACAACAAAAGTCATCAGAAAGATAAAGTGATTCAACAAAAATGGGAATTACATCAAAGAGAAGAAAAAAAGTCGGGTACAAAAGTGAAAGGAGAATGAGAAACGAAAGATAAAATAGAAAAGAAGAAAACAAGAAAATACAGACATACAAACAGACCCGCGCGCACACACAACACTGGGAGAGGAGGAAGAGAGGAGATAAAAATAAAGACGTAAAGTCAAAGAAAAAATTAAAATAACTAAAATATGAAGAGTAAAATATGGAAGCTAACACGCGAGAAGCTAGAAAAAATGATTAAAAATATAATTTCAAAAAGTTAAATTAGAAAATGTTGCTGTTATTGTTTGCCCTTTTTTGAAAGGAATTATTAAAAAGTAAAGGAGGATGAGAAAATAAAAAAAAATAAATAAAGCGTTTAGACAAGAAATTCCTGTCTCTTTTTATTCTTCTTTATCACAAAGTTGAAAAAGTCGAAAATAAATAAATTTTACTTTGAATTTTTTCTTGTTCTTTAGAAGCAAAAGATCAAAAATGACCAGAAAATGTTACAAAAATAGTAATTGAAAAATGATCGCGGATTTGTCACTAAAGGTGTCAAAGTTTGATAACGAAGCCAAACTTGAAATCATTCGGCCACAAACCCCACATAACGCGAAATCTAGGCATGTAGTTAATTAGAACAACCGCCAAATCACCAGAAGCAAGGAAGCCATCTTCCCCCTATGGCAAAAGTGGATTGAACGTAGCAGATACCATTAAACTCGGTAGGAGACTACTCTGTGTAATTATTCCGTCCTTTGAGATGATTAATATCATTAGCCACAGTATAAAGCCCCGGGTCTGTATGCTACCAAACTTACTGTCATACATATGTATGCGGAGTTTTGTAATGTAGCAAAGTCATGCTATTATCATTTAACATAAAAATCACTACGTACGAATATCGCATTCGACCGTAGCACCGACAAAAAAAAACAGAATTACTAAGGCACAAAAGTTGCAAAAATGGGTTATTTAAATTATTAAAATTAATTTTTAAGCTTTTTATTAAATAATAATATTAAAATTCGTTAACAACGCCGCTCCTCCGAACGTGAAGTCAATAGTTTTTAAACGAAATTTACGATGCACGGAAGCTTAAATTGTAAATTGTTTACGTTAGTTATAATTAAAAAAACGTATTAATTAATTAATTAATATAATTTTAAGCGTTTCGATGCAGTAATATTATTAGACTTTTAGCATTTCATTTCATTACTATTAAATATAGTAATGAGACTATAGCGCCGACCCCAAAAAACAAGTGTTTTTAAGAAAAAACTCCCCAAAAATTGTTAAACAAGAGAATAAACAGTAAAAAAATTGCTGCTCTAATAGTTTTTAATCTTTTTAGTGCAAACAAATAAAAATTAATTACTTAAATTTGACTCTTATCATTTAGAACCAAAATGGACGTCGTTCATGATCGCAGCGCCACAACGAAAAAAGATTTGCATTTAAAATCTAAAAAGAATCCTTAAAAATGTTTTTCAAAATTATTAAATACTTAAAATTTATTATTTTAATCGCACTTGTAAGCATTGTTATGCAAAAATATTAAGATTAATCGTTGCTTTGATTGTGTGTTTGCGCGCGTGTTTATACGAAGGATATATTTTAAAAAAGAGGGTAGAAAATAAAAAGTACATGTGATAAATCTTCAGCATCCTTTGCATCATAAAAGCTGCAAAATGCGATATATTTATGAATGAACCATCAATTGACTCTTTGACACTCTTTGTGATTTTTTCGAAAGGGGATTTCATAACTCCCAATACAGTGGTATCTCGTTACAGAAAGAAAACAGCAATTAGAAAGAACGATTGTAGATAACGTCATCTTGCAGAATGATTTATTACTACTCGTCTGACAAACTTTGCAGTTTGAATTATCAATATATCGATAGTGTATCAGTTGTTTTTGGGGGGTGTCGATGTCGAAATCTGATGACAGATATAGTTTCTTCTCCTATCTGAAGACAGTTATTGATGATGCGTATCGATAAAAACATTGAATTACCTTTATGGGGATCATATTAAATTCGAACCAACTTGTAAGCGAGATAAAATAAAGCGATGATACAACGGTATTATGAAAGAAAGAAGAAGGAACGAAAAAAATGTATCACAGTGCACTTTATTAAATTTTCAGTAACAGATGTTGAACCCTAATTTATCTACTCTGGTATTCATGAATAAGAATTATTAAGTGGAAAGTGTGATGATGTTCGTACGTGTAAAACGATTATGAAGAGTTATTGCACAGAAATTGGCATTTAAAGCTGTTTTAATAATATTTAATTAACACTTTAAATTTTGGCACTTGTCCGAAAATTAGAAAATTTTCGAACAAGTTCAATTTCTGTTGTTTTTCTCCTATTCACTTTGGTGTACGCTATTTTATTTTCCTGTATAACTTTGAGCATGTTGTTTACTATCCAGTACACATTTGTGCATGCTGTTTATTTTTCTGCACACTTTCGTGCGTGCTATTTATTCCTCGATACACAGTTTTATATATGATACACTGTATATTGTTTTATATACTTTAGGTATACAATTTATATAGTATTTAGAAAGTATTTTAGTATACTCTTTTATATTATGTATTATTGTGTACATAGTTTATATGTAAATTAGATGTTCACAGTTATACAGAAATAGAAGAAAACATATTTTCTAAATCTCTTATTTTGAATAATTATTTTTCTCTTACACATTTATAAAAGTTATGTATATCTGTCCTAAACGACACACTTTTCTGAACTCTGTTTTGTGGTATTGTTTACATAAAAATTAACACTCAAAATGTCGCAATTATATAAAAATTTGATATTCTTTTTCTCTATAATTTCATTCTGCGCGCTGATCTTGCATGTTTTATTTGTATTTTTAATGAGAATTTAATATTTTGTTATTGTACTTACACACTTTTACGTGTAATCACTGCACAATTAACACGAAGGGGTAGTAGTAATCGATAAATACTAATGTAAATAAGCCAATAGTGGATGGAACAAAGAGCAAAAGTGGACCATCAGATACAGACAGACACACACACACACACACACATATATATATATATATACATATCGTGACTACTGTCACGCATCACGTATATTTTAAATAGTGATATCAATTGGAATCGTAGGGATGTACGTAAAATAAAGTATAATTGAGAAAAATACTCTTTAATTCTAGAAAAAAAAACTGTGTTGGAAAGGATTTTAATTAAATTTACAGTTTTTAAAACTAGGGAGAAACTCTAAGTTTAAAAAAATTAGATTAAAAAGTAGAACCGAGAGGAGGAATTGATTGTAAGTGAAGTGTGAAGTGGAATCATTTTTCAAGAAAAAAAAAATAAGGAAAAAAAATTAAAGTTCAGGTGAGAATATTTTCACCTGTTTCAACCGGCAATATCAATTCTATCATCAAAATCGGAAATTATTTTTTAAAAAAGTAAGAATTCCTTACGTTACGTCCCTCACAATAAAAAAAAAAATAAGGTTAATAGATTAAAACAAAATGGAGATTTAAATATGGCGGTTTGTGTTTATATATCGATGCGTTACCTTAGCAACTCACATACACACACGCACGCACACGCATACAACACACGTCACAATTAGGTATGGTAAAACACACGATAAAATTCCCACCCCCGTCATACTTTACTTCCACTACGACGTCACCAGGCGAAGTGAAGTGTTGGCTTTATAGTTGTCAGTTCACAGATGTATTTGACGGTGTCGTAAAGTAGAAGATCGTAAAAATTGAGTGGATTGGTTTTATGTTTGGTCGTCTGAGTGTCTGGAATCTCAAAATAGTCAATAACTAGTTTATTTACTTTTCTTTTATGCCAGTTATCAATTCGATATTAGCGCTCGCTCTATCGATTTGCTGTATCTCTTCAGATATTTAAAGTAGTTCAATAAAATGTTGCAAGGATCGACTTGCAACACTTCTGTGGGCTTATCTAGTGTGGTTTGATGTGTTTATTTTACGTTAAAATATTAATAAAAATCGATTTATAAAAAAAAAAAAATTATTATTTCTTTAATGTTTACTTTCCTCTACGTGAAGAGGGTAATCATCGTTTACAATCTTCCTTATGTAAAGTAGGAGGGGGTGCAAATGGTTTATCGTGTGAAACGGGTGAAGAGTAATGTCGCCAGTCCTTATTTTGCTTACGAAAATATAGTGTGAAGATAATTATCGGGTTTCTTATACGTATGATATTGAATATAAATTATGCATGATGCGGTGTATAAGAGCTTTACGAAGAAGGGTATGCATGTAACGATGCATTCATAGAGTACGGTGTAGTATAAAGAGATTAATTAAAGCATGTATTCCTGTTTATCAGCATCCTGTGCATCAGTTAGTATGCAAGAATCTCGTGTTTATGATGATCTCTCGTGATGTTGAATATGAAAAAACTGTTGTAACCTTATATAATGATTTAAAAACGTATTTTTTAACGTAGGACCACGAAGGGTGAGATATATTGCTATCGACATCTCCTGAATTCAGCAAAGAACGAGATTCAATTCTACTAAATTTATTTTCTAGATATAAATAGAATAAAGGGCCTGTAGTTTGTCTCGTGCATAAACAAAGTAGACTTTAACAGAAACGAAACTCGACTCGACACAAGCTCATATCCATGATTAAAATTTAGTTTTCTTGCGTACGTCATACGTGTTATAAAATAATAAAATTTAACATAAAAATTTAATTATAATGTTTATTTTAACTCGTTTCTTCTAAGTGAATAAACATAAAGAAAGAGATGATAT